CAAAACATTTCTGGGTTGAAATTTGGCAAAACATTTACAATATCTGCAAACAGAAAAAACATACGCTTTCATTGTACAATCCATCTAGTCTAATAGAAAACCTAGCACTTGATATAACCATTTCTAAAATCAGCAGTGTTTTGGAAATATTTGTCACTTTTTGCCTAATCATGCTAATACTAGCCGTGACAGATTAACTATAGTAATAGGAAAGAACATGCTGTTCTTAACCTTTTTTGAGTAGTATATTAAGTCAATGAAACAAATAGACACATAACATTTACACTATCCAGTCAAAGCACCCTTATATAAAATGTACTGGTTATTATGAAAATGGACTGGAAAGTGTCCAGTTAGCCTAATACATAGTCTGTGATATCTTTTACAGTAAACTACGGTTATAACAAGCTCAAAGGGACCACTGATATTAGTTCGATATAACCGTACATCATTATAACTATATATACAGCATATATACAGCAAATAGCCGGCACCAAAAATTTGTTCGTTATGTCTGTCAGTTCGTTATAAGCATGTTCGTTATAAACGTAGTTTACTGTATTATACAATACAATTCTCTCCTCTAATTTGTTAGATGCTTGTTTTTATACAGCTGGCTAGACTGTTTATGATCTAGATTATTTTTTGTTTAATTTAATACATTTATTCTGCAGTCATGGTTCACAGACCAGTGGACTTGCATATACGAGGATCCTGTTTTGGGACACCCTATAATATGTCATAATATGTCTCCATACATTTTCCTCCTTGCAGGTGTGAACAGGGTAATATCCCTCTCTCGACCATGAAAACCACCCCATACATCCATTACCACTTTGATGTGGAGATAACGCTGCAGTTTGACATTGTTCCACTCAACACACAGACGACACCTTTACTAACTAGTGCGCTCGCCTGTTCAAGGTCGTCTGAGGTCATGTTCCTGCCTGGCTCGTCTGTCTCCTAAACTGGGTCACTAGACGTAAACACAGTCACATGGGCCGCAATGGAATCTAAGGAGAAATTGGGCCAATATGAACTGAAATTTAAGAGCATCGCAGGGCTAAAATTAGACTCGGTCTCCTTTGGGTAGGACGTGGTTAGTGTCAAAGATTGACAACATACTATCATCCATTCACCGGAGGATTTAATCAGATGGATTCAATCAGATGGTTTCTTCTTCCACTTGAAGACAGATGTTTCAAGTCTTGTGCTAAACAAATCAACCGAATCAATTAATAATTTAGAACAATCATGTTTTCAAAACCAAAATGGAAATGTCAACTGAATGAAAGAGGGAGCTTATTGTTATACCTATGGAAAATGACTGACCACGTTATCTTTCCCGGGGGGGGGGGGGGGCTTTCCAGGGTTTTTTCAGCGGAAACAAATTCAATAAAGCAAAATCAGAAAACAGCAATTGTACTATGAAAGTGTCTAACATCTAACATGTCAGAAGACAAATGTTTCTGCTATAATCATGATAAGTGGTAAATGTTAAATATGCCATGTACCATAAATCATTGTTAATGATAACTATCCTTCTCAGTGAGTGAGTGAGTGAGTGAGTATGGTTTTACGCCGCTTTTAGCAATATTCCAGCAATATCACGGCGACGGACACCATAAATGGGCTTCACACATTGTGCCCATGTCGGGAATCGAACCTGGCTCTTTGGCGTGACCAGCTAACGCTTTAACCACTAGGCTACCTGACCGCCCCCTATCCTTCTCAGACTGCCTGAGATATTCTCGATGCCATGATCATGTCAAAGTACAGAATGCCCTCATCCATGGAACAACAATTTTTGTGTAAGAAATTGACGACAGGGCAAGAACTGGCCTCTAAGTTTGGTGTTTAAAACATAAGGTTGTAATCTACATATTGAGTCTTTATGAAGTTCCAACTTCAAAATAGTTATTAAAGACCTTATTTGCCTTTTTGTCTCATCAATATGTTTATACAGCCATTTTGTTTTCCTGGAATGTTGACAGAATCTATCACATACAAAACTTACCCCACAACGGAATGTCTGGGAATCTCAATGCAAAGCGAAGGGATTGCTTTGCTGACATCTTCCTGGACCCTCTTGCACAAAACAATCATTTCCTTGAGTCTTTGTAGGCAGTTAGAAGCTGGATACACTCACGAGAAGGGGTATTGTTATGGATCACAACTTCTTTATTATACATACACAATGTTTCAGGCCTACTTCTTGCCCTTTCTTCCTGACGAGGGGCAGGAAGTAGCCCTGAAACATTGTGTATAGATGATATAGAAGTTGTAATCCATGATACTCCTCATGATCATATCCTTGTATGCCTATGCCAGGAAAGTATATTAATCCCATCGATGTATCAATATGATCACTTGCCATAACATATTGTTGAGAATATAGGTTTGTGATGTAAAATTTAATTCATAAGACTTAAATTGGTACTTCTTGGGGTTCATTACGGTATGAATCGAAACACTAATGTGCAAACTGTGGGAACCCTCAACGTGACCCCAAATTACACATTCAAGAAATAGGGATAAATTCACATGCATATTTGTTCTGATATGTTTCCTGCAACTTGTCTGACAAGTGGGTGGAATACTGGCTGGAGCCTGACTTACATCCACCTTTTCTGACCAGCAGATGTAATACTTGCTGGAGCCTGACTAACGTCCACCTTTTCTGACCAGCAGATGTAATACTTGCTGGAGCCTGACTAACGTCCACCTTTCCTGACCAACGGAGGTAATACTGGCTGGAGCCTGACTAACGTTCACCTTTCCTGACTAGCGGATGTAATACTTGCTGGAGCCTGACAAACGTCCACCTTTCCTGACCAACAGAGGTAATACTGGCTGGAGCCTGACTAACGTGAACTATGTAAATCACAATCCCAAACTGTCCAGCCAGACCAGTTACACTGAACAATACAATTCACAATTATCAACCTCTTGTAAGTAAACAATGCAATGAAAATCAGTTAGGACTAAACATCAGTGAAGAAGTTACTACTTTAAACATACACAGCAGAATCCGTTCACAAATATATCCAATTCACCTCCCCGCCAAAAAACTGACAGCCTGATTTTGAATGCATGTCACAAGCTGTACAGCCTAGATACTGTTCGAATGCCAGGATAGTTATAAAATATTCACAGCACTTGCTAATTGATACAGATGGTATGGGCTGCCCGAGGTAGTCAATCTGCTATCAACAATCCTGGCCCTGCACATTTACTACTGAGGTGCTGTGGCCAACAGTTTGATTGATGGCTATGTGTGGTGTACTTTACATGAGCAGTGAGTGATAGATGGTGGTAGTCAGTGTTGAAGGAAGTTTGAAAGATGAGGGAAAGATCTGTTGCCCCCTCCATAACTTGACCAGCCATATTAAACTTGTTAATGGTCAGGACTCGGACATTGACTAAATATTGTAAGTAAAGATATGCTCTGTCACAAGACGTTTCAGATAAGGTCCTCTTTATCATATCCAAAACGACTCCCAATACATTTCTTTGAAATGGAAATTGGATGCCAAGAGAATCTTGTCATCAGTGGGTGTGCGAGAATTCAAATTGATGTATCTTACTATTAAATGACAAAAACTGACAAGATGGTCAAGTGAAAGATAATCTTTCTTTCTATGTAGAGAGAAAGCTGGACTGTGTCAACAGTAACACAAGCATTGCTTTCTTGAGTATTTTATAACATGCTTCACATTGTGTAAAGCTGGATTAGTTTGTATTCAATACAGATAGTAAAACATAATACATCTACTGATAGCATTTGTTTGTTTATTTGTTGTTTAATGCCGCACTCAGCAATATTCCAGCTATATGACGGCAGTCTGAAATTAATCGAGTCTGGACCAGACAATCTAGTGATTGACATCATGAGTATCAATCTTTGCAATTGGGATACGATGACATGCATCAACAAAGTCAGCAAGCCTGACCACCCGATCTCGTTAGTTGCCTCTTCCGACAAACATAGTCACCTTTTACAACATGGGTTGCTGAAGACCTATTCTACCCCGGATCTTCATGGGTCTACTGATAGCAAAACATGTGTCATATCTACTGATAGTAAAATGTTGGCAACATCTACTGATAGTAAAACGTGTGTAACATCTGATAATAACGTGTGTCACATCCATGGATATTAGAACGTGTGCATGTCTACAGATAATGCTGTTTTGCATACAGTAGTAAATTATTATGGCTTTTTGGCACATTTCCCATACATCAGCAAAATTTCTTTGGTAGACCTGTATTCATACTATGAGATTTGTGTGAATGAAATAGGTTTTAAATGCAGTCAGCACTTCTGTTATAACCATGGAGCTTGGCCCTGTACTCCACGAAGTGATCTTAGTAGTACAACAGTTGGAATTCAATGTTAGACTGTGGGAGTTAGGACAGCCGTAGTGCTATTGTAGCTGGGTGTGAAGTCATCCCACAGATGACATCCTTACTTTATCAGCTTGCTGACGGGGTTAACCTCTTTGGTCATGTGGACAAGGCGTCTGACCTCTGACCAGAAGGTCCGTGGTTCAAATCCCATCACGGACAGACAACCAATGGGCAATGGTGTGAGTAACAACCCTTCCATGTGGACATACAATCAACCAGTTCACAACTGAAAGCTGGTCTCTACTCAAGGCAGTCATCCATACAAGTCTTACATGAGCCATTGTGACCAACCAGTCCCTGGTTTAGCCACCTCTTACATACTGAGGCATTGTTTTAATTGCTCGAACATCAACTACATCTTTTTAAAAGCAACCATCCACTGGTTATCCAACAGATACCAAAATTATCCTTGTAACTATGGAAGAGCTAAATGAGTCTATGTTGCTTTCAGTGCAGTCACCAATATTCCACCAATGTCATGGCTGCCTATCAGTTATGGAAGTCCGGCGCTTGCAAACTTGTGACTGAGTGTGAAAGACTGAACTTTGAATCTTCAAGAGGACGGAGACAATCAGAAGAGAAAATCTTACCTTCTGTGACTGTGTCTTCCATAGTCCTGCCTCATCTTTCCCATCAACCCCTGGGAGACTTCCTCCAGGGTTATCACCTCTGTGTAACTGGGGCAACGACTGGGCACGGAAGAGTGAGGAAGGGTTTTCCACAGCTCCCCCAAATCCCCCTGGTGACCCAACTTGACCTCCAGGTCCCCCAACTTGTCCTCCAGGTCCCCCAACCTGACCTCCAGGTCCCCCAACTTGACCTCCAGGTCCCCCAGGTTTTCCCCCTGGTCCTCCAGCTCCAAACATGGCTCGCATCTGGACCAACTGACTTATCCTTCTCTTTAGGTTCAACTGCGCATCATTGGGAGTGACTGCATCAGGTATGCCTGACCTTCTGAAATCGGCTGGCGCGTTGTCCTGATTTGGGTAGAACATCGGCATGTCCCCACCCCCAGGATACCCGGCCCTTCCCTGCATGCCCATAGCCCCGGGACTCCCTGCCATGCTGTTGAAGGAAGGGAGACCGCTAGGCAAGCTCACCGGTCCCGCTTGGGAACTGGCACTCTGAAAACTGTGAGCCGCCATTGCTGCAAGGTATGCCGGGTCCTGCATGGCATCTATCATTGATCGGGGATCCGTCATCCCCGGGCGCCCCCACCCAACCTCAGCCTGGGTTCGATCCTGCTCCATAACATCACCTTCAACTCATCCCACACTGAAACACAACAAACAATACTAAAGATCATGTGGATGAAAAGGCTTCAAAGCAGAATACAACCAAACCAATCTTAATTCTTAAGGCCAGAGCCTATGAATAGGTTCGCGCCCTCCTCATGAGTGATATGGAGTTTTGACACCGAAAGTCCATATCACCTGCCGAGGTGGGTGCCAACCGACTTATACCACAGGGGCCATGAACACGATGCACTTTAAGATGAGGCTGCAAAACCATGAAACAAGGCTTGCTCCCCTTTCAATCGAATCATCCAAACTCGGCACATTGCACGTGTGGGGTCATTACAAAAAATAACCTGTCAAAAATATGGACATAATGCACACAAGTGATATAACAATTGCCTGAATTTTATTTTGATATATTTCAAAATAGGGGAAGGAGGTATTTGTCTGTCAAATTTTATAGCTCATTTTGATAAAAAGCTACAATAAGCATGAAAAGCATAGCAAAGAAGAAAAAGTTAAAATTTCTTTTTATTTGCTTGATATCTTCTTTTGGAAGGAAAGATATAAAACTACAACAGTCATAAAACATTAAAGTAATTATTTTTCAATAGTAATATATGAAATTTCAAACTACCTAATCTAAGTGGTTTGCAATTTTCCCTGTAAAGTAAGATAAACAAACAGTCCGATGGTGGTCACAACTGCTCCCTGTTATCTTCTATCACCAGATAAGCAGTGCATCTTACTACCAAACAGGTTCAACCACTAATCAATTCCTGTCCTGGTCACATGGCACTTCCAATCTTTTTCTTCTTTTATAGACTACTTTGATTTGGTTCAAATTAAAAAAATAATAGCCATAATCATATAAAATGAGCTTTGATGCCATATTCAACCAGTCCGAAAAAGTCACATTTGTCCTAATTGAACTGATCATTAGTAAATTCCACTATTATTAATGACTGGCTCGAGTCAACAATTAAACGGATGTGAAACGTAAAATATTGTTTTCACTATGATTGTATATGACAAAATATCGGTGAATTTCGGAAAACTTGTGGTTAGTTGTAAAGCAAAAATTGATGTCACATAATACTTGTCAGTACTAGCGGGGTTCAAGGTCATCCCACAACACATCTCGCAACACGTGGCTACATCAGGCAGGCAGCTGGAGAAGTGTTCGCGGGGCTTTGTTTACGATCCTAAGCATGTTCTAAAAATAGACTTTGTGGCTTTCCCCTTTCCTGAACAAGTTTCGTTAGATTTTGGAAATATCTTTCATTAAGTTTGTACAAATCTGGACAATTGAATAAATAATATATAAATAATTACTTCTGAATATCTTATTAGGAATATGTCGGTTAAGGTTGAAATATTTCTACACATGTACCATGGTGAAGGGGCCAATGATACAAACATAGTAACATCCATTTTGTAACTTCTATAATAAAGGAAAATAACAAAAAGCAATATATAAAGAAATATACAGACAGATAAGTTCAAAATCATTGCCATGGCAATATTCATGCTAAGTTATCTGATCTTTTTTTTATCCCAGAAATAATTTGTTCATTAAAATCTGAACCAGTACATGTTTTGGCATTAGATTTCATTGCGCATCATGTAAGGTTTCAACGACAAAGCAATGCAAACATCATAAATTCTGACGTTCCTCAAATAGTTTCAAAACCAATGAACCAAACAATCCATATTTCCACAATGTTATGCTCTGCAAAATATATTGTTTGTCTCTGTTTCAATAACAGATTTCAGCAGTCAGATTATTGGAACATACTAGAAACTTCATAACATGAAGCAATAATCACTCTCCCACCAATGGCTATCAATTCCTGACACTTTCAGCGCCTTGATGCTGTTAATGGTTTAAAGATCCAGCTAAACATACCCCTCCTGCTGTCGCACCTGGTCAGGGCGAAACACGGTCAGGGCTCACTGAACATGAAGCTGTTTTGCAAATTAAGGGGTGGGCTTTAAACCACTAGACAGACAATTTTCCTCCACCGACAATAATAGGGGGTTGGCTAGTACTTCAAGATAAGCCTATGCTAGTGACACTGTGCTGAAGGAATATTTGCCCAATGCTTATAAATTCTCGCCCGCTATCCTCATGAATAATTGTGAAAGATTGCTTTTTAAAGGCGGAACCAGGGTTTGTTAAAGAGGAAGGGGGTCGTCACAGTTACGAAATCTTAACTTTAGTGTGTCCATGTGACAAGCATGTACACAAGTATAATAATCATATAAAGGAATTTTTTTTATAGGGCATATACCAATAATCCCCCTCCGGACCCTCCTTTGCGATAAATCTATTACATGGCAAGAATTGTTGAAACTAGGAATTAAGAACTGGGTGCAGTTTATTAAAATGTGGTTTGATTAAATATATTGAAGTGTACTTCCTTAATCTGTTCACATGTTCATTTGTCACAAATCATAATGCTGATGTAGCTGCCGTAAACATTTCCTCCAAGTGATGGGATTTGAACCAAGGAGCTTCTGATCTGAGGTCGAACACCATGTCCACATGACCAAAGAGGTTAACCCCGCCACAGCAAGCTGACCAGGTAAGAATGTCATCTATGGGCTTACTCCACACCTCGCTACTCCCCGTCAAAAGAAGGCACGCCCCCGGCCGCATGGTAAGGTACTGAGAAATATTTTGCTCAAATTCAATATGAACATTATCAGTTGGGAGACAAGGTATCGACCATAAATTTCTGAGTACCATGATGGGATTCAAACCGACCTTCTGATCCGAGATCGAACTCTTAAACACCTTGTCCAGATGACCTAAGCTATCATATCCCATTAGCAAGCTGACAAAGCTCCAGGTCCTGCTTTACTGACACACCAAGTGTAACTGAGCCTCCATCAATCAGGCCGCGAAGATGAAGGAGTTATTAGGAAACAACCCAGTGGTATCATTGAAGGAGGATGAAGAACCAAATGATGACTCTTCAAGATGACTCTTAGAATCTTGCAACTGACTGCATTTAAATCACAAATAAAAATCTTCCATCCTAAGCATTTAATATTTCTTATTTACATAATTCAGATACCTTAAGATTTTATCTAAAATTCTATCTTTGGACTACAGAAACACTTCCTTAATAAACTGCACGGCAATACTTTCCAACCCTTTACAGTGATATCTTCCTTGATCAGTATAACCCTGTTGACCCAGTTGAGCCCTGTAGCTGCTGCCGAACCCAATTTGATGCCAGGATTCAAAGTCAAAACAAGGTCAACAGTATAGTAACACAACATGAGGAAACAGGAAATAGAAGGTAAGAAGTTTGGGAGAATTTCAACAGTAGGTTTCAGCCCTCCATAACTATGTCATAACAGAGGAGTTCGCTATGTCTGCGGAGCTCAGCGACATCACATTCCATAAACGTATATTCAAATGTCATTCTTCACAAATTAAGGCATGACAATACTGAAAACATCCCAATTCTGTTTTTACAATTCAAAATGCAAAACTCGACGAACACTGACCTAATCCATGTTACCCTGCCCCACAATTTGTAATATGCGACGTTCTATGTTAAACCCGTAAAAGTCCTTCTAAAACTGACAACTAATGTTCTAATGTTCTAATTCTGTCCTACCAGCAAGATTTTGTCTTGTAAAAAACACCCATCCACTATCAAGGTTAACTATCAACTCGGAGTTTGGCAATCGGAACACAAGAGCTTTGTTTACGATTTGCAGCGGGGGCTAAATATAGATTCTCTGGCTTTCCCCTATTACATGTGACCTAGTTTCAATAATAGGTCATACTTGGCACAAGTCCCGCTTTGCCTCCTTTCATGATATGTTCAGAAATTAGTGTTAAAAACTAACCTCAACGTTTTAACAAATTTGTCAAAATAAACTACAATACGTTGCCTGTAAGTATTTCAGTCGATGAACTTTTAACTCACTTCGTATAAGCAACCGAACGTTGTGATAGGGGTTCTTAGATAATCATGTCTAAATCCCCTCGTCTTATGGAAATCCAATGCCAGTCAAGCAGTACCATTTTTGTCACCAGTCAAGACAGAATCCATCACAATGGTCCATCCACCTCTTAATCTCTTGACCCGAATATGTGAATAGATCCTCTCCTCCAGATACAGGAACAAAATCTGGATATGGAACATATCCGTGATACAAAATAATGGACACTTTTCAGATTGCATTGCACAAGTTTGATATTTCATATAATAATTTCAATATATAATATTATCGCTTAGATATATGATATCCAAATTTCAAGATTGTATTTCAAAATTTACATACATATTTCAACTAAATTTTGAAAATATTTCCTACTTTGAATTGTTATGGGGCTATAAATTTCTCGTTTCACATTTCTTGTCTTTTCATAAAGTTTGTAAGTATTGAATTCAAATGGTTAAGCTTTAACATTGTAATAAGACATAATATTCAATTTTGTTTCAAGTGATTGTAGTGCAACAAATTCTGCATCAGCTATTCATATACCACGTCTACCCACCATTCCTGTGTTCTGCATCAGCATAAAACAATATGACCCAATTTTCTGGGGTTACACACTCTGAATCAGCTAACAGGACGGAAAACAAACCACCCACTCGTAAAATGCTTTGCCCACACAAAAATCTGTTCGGAGCATGCTCAGGGTTTCATGTGACTGTATTTCATGCAATTTCACCTCAAAATTTCCAAATCATATTTATGATGAGTAATAATATGCAACATATTTTTATCAGTCAGTACTAGTTCCTACAAATACATTCCCCTGAACTGAAGACTCTTTGAGTGAGTATGGTTTTACGCCGCTTTTAGGAATATTCCATCACGGCTGGGGACACCAGAAATGGGTTTCACGCATGACTCTTTCATAATAGAAAGTGTTTCAATCGACTGAATGTTCATGATGTAGAGAGGGAATTGCTTTTATTATCTCTGAAAGACATTTGTGCTTGAAGTTATTTTTGTCATCAATACCATGTAGACTAAAATTGTTGCTCATGCATGACTAAATGG